GCGGGCGCCAGCAATCCTTCCATTTATCCCTCTCGCGTGCCAGAGTCGTCCAATGGATTCTGTCTGTTCGAGAGATTCGAAGAGCATTATATCCTTCCTTTAAGGACTTCGTGAAGAAGTCAAGTCGGTGGTTTCTTGTTGTGCGCTTGACGTTCCGCGGAGCCCAGTCGCTGACGGCTCTTGTTCAACGGTTCCCATTACGACGCATCACGTGTTGGCCCAACCGATCTTACTCAAGTTGGCGTAAGCGGCAATGTCCCGGATCTCCGACTGATGACGTAGGGTAGCGCTCAGTACCTCAGCCCTCATGTGCGTGAGGCGGTTTACTCCTAGCATCATCCTGTCGACTATACTGATGGTGTGGATCTGTTGCGTTGGCACAACCAGGTTGAAGTACGATGCACGGCCTCAAACTTGAATAACTGAACCTTTATCCATAACCCAACTTTTCGATTTCGAGTATATATGGAGTGAATGAAACGAGAAAGGCAAATGAAATAGCAAATATGTAGATAGCAATAGAAATATCAGATATCACACGGCCGGCGGAAATAGAAGCTGAGTGGTTAGCGTCACTCCCTTTTATAGCGTTTGTGTTGGCGCCCAATTTTGGTACTCTCCACGCTTTGTGTAGTCTTCTGGCGTGATCATTATTGATTGACCTGGATCATGCAGGCGAACTGGTGAGCCGCGTGACCTACCGCTAAACTCCCATCTAAAACGGAATTTCGTGGATCATCTTAGGGAGAAAAAGGAATTGCGGATATTATGTAGATTCAAGGACACAAACGAAAAGAAACTCATCTTGTACGAGTGCTCTGTAGTTGGTAAGAGAGACGATAATCCTCAACTCGTTTAGCAAGTTTCTCCCACCTGGAGACGAAGTGGGTAGGACTGGACAGCTGATATCGGGCATTTTTTATGCCGCGATTCCTATAATCCAGTTAGGAGCCGCATTTAACCGCATGATCGCCATCTGTCTACCTTTTCACTACAACACCTTATGCACTAAAAGGTGGGCATTGGTAAGTTGTCATTGCCAAAGACTTCCAAGTTCTGTTCCTTATAAAACTAATGAAGTTAAGGTGGTCATCGTGTTAGGATTATCTTATGGTACACTCGTATCGTTACATGAAATATTTGGTCAGTTTCTTTCTCTAAGGGCACCACTATTACGATGGGAAATGTACAATTTTTACAAGTAATTTCAGCAAAATGCCGTTTCGTATACAATCCAACCATGATATCGTGGGAATATCTCGACTGCTCCCGTCGCTCGCTTGAAATCAAGCTCATCTACCCTGTGTTGTTTATCACAGCGACGACACTAATTATGAACCTTTTCATAGCTACGAAGATCGTCACTGAGGTACCTATCTGCATATTCTCTGTCATGTTTGTTTATCAAGCCTAAGTACCTAAGAGAGTCTGCGCTAAACAACTCCCACTTGGTAAATTAGCCAAAGCCAAAGATATGTATTACAAGCGGCACAACAATCACATACCTCATTAGAATCTAATCACCCAAACTGCGTTTTCTCTTCGTGGCAAAGATTATGGATCTCACACGAGAGAGAAAGCTGAACCTAACCGAATTTGTCGGGATGTTACCCATCTGGAAACGCATCATGCTCATTTTGTTTCTGCTTGCACTTTTTGAATAAGCAAATCGAGGTGCCTATTCCCCACAATGTTGTGGGTATTATATACTCGAATGACATTACTCTTCTGTACTCATCTTTTTATAATGATCCATCCACTTCAATGATAGTTCTGTCTCTAAACACGTGATTTAGACCCCTTAGTTTGGCTACTACACCTTATGCATCTATATCTATATATAAAACATAGAATCTATATATAAAACATACAAACGCCTACTACAATTTTTTTCAAAAGTCTGGACAACGCGCAAGGGCGCCAAATTCAAACGATAGGAATGCATCTGTGAGCAAAGTGGTGAAGAAAGGGCTCGGAAACATGGGACACCATCCGAATAGGACGGATGGCCTAGGATACTGCTCATCGGATAGTATCGCGCCGTATGTCGACTTATCGATCGATTGTCCTTAGTTTGGCTCCAATCCGGATCGAAATGGGCATACTAGTTTTTTCATCACGCTGATCACGAGTCTGGCGGCCACTTTTCACGGCGTGGTTATTGATTTACTGATTTCATTCGACATTTCGCAATTTGCGCTGCAGTCGTGGCGAAACTGTACCCACAGGTTTTTCACCACGCTGATCGCGAATTTATCGATTCATCGATTTTATTAATTTTTTGTGCGTTTTGTTCCGGCGTGGTGGAAAGAAGTTCATAGGGGCTATCTAGCATGCCAAACATGAATAAAGGCGTGAGCACAGTAAACCCTTGGAAATACACTGAAAATTGAAGTTGATACACTGAGATACATTGAGTACAGTGAATCAATACCTGCGCGCGAAATGTTCTTTAGAGAAGCCAATCACATGAGCCTTGAAGGCAGTTCGTGTGCTGAAATTTTCGTGGCGTAAACCAAGATACTCAATGATTTTACGCGAAAATCTTCCTAACTGTGATATCTATTATCGTAATGTTAGGAACTTTCAGGAAATTGCATGCCATTAAAGAAACGAAGTAGTCACTTGTTATTCTCATTGTTCGAAGATAATTCCAGGCAGGAAATTACAGCGATTTTTCATAGTCGTGGTTCTATGGGTGCGCTAGAGAGTTTGAAATGCTAGGACTAAAAGGAGTCATGGGGAATCCATGCTGGAGGCGCTCGAGCGGTTGGATAAACCCATTGTGAGCAAGTCTCTGAACATTCAAACAAGTTATACAAGCCCTTCGTGGCAGGGAAAAGCCCCCAACAAGTGAACCTACCACAAGTTACCACATGGCGCGGGAAGCGAACCCGGGCCGCTCGCGTGGCACGCAAGCATTCTACCACTGAACGACGTACTCCACTGCGGGCCAGTGATCGTCCCACAGTTATTGCGACTT